AACTTGCAATAACAAAGACAAAGAAATTGTGGAGGTGACGGAAGCAGAGATGGTGGATGTTGCATCAAGTGTCCTGTGTAACCGTCACCAAGATAGAGAGACGACAGGATACCGGGGTACTATACCCTCGTCACCAGTATTGGTCCAGAACCAGAGAAGCCAGGAAAAGAAAGAGGGTTCGGCAAAGGTTAAAAAACTGAAGCTTACAGGTATGGATTCAATGGCATCATCTAGCAAAAAGATTAAACGCTATAATCCCTATGGACTGAGAGGAAGTTTGCAGGGACGAATTGATGAGACTCAAATGATAGACACCCCGATTTTTTGAGGTGGAGGGGCCAGGAAGATGGGCTTTGGTGGCTAGCCCTAATAAGCCACCAAGTGACAAATGACGCTCATTAGTTGGAATTGTCAGGGTCTGGGCAATCCCCTGACAGTCCAAGCACTAAGAGCCCTTGTGGTTCAAGAAAAGCCCAACGTAGTGTTCTTAATGGAAACAAAGAACCAGGAGATGGTGATTCAAAGAATAAAGAAGAGGTTGAAGTTCCCCTATTGTTGTGTAGTGGATCCCATAGGCTTAGCAGGGGGGCTAGCGGTGTTATGGAATGATAGGGTATCTTTGAATATTGAACGTATGGCTGAGGAGTTTATAGATATGATTTACGAGGAGATGGATAGTGGCAAAAAGATGCGCATCACGTGCCTTCATGCGTCGACTGTGTACCAAAAAAGATTACAACTATAGGAGGAACTAAGACAGATTAGCTCCTCAAATTCTCTTCCATGGGTATGTATTGGGGATTTCAACGAAGTACTTCATTATTGGGAGAAAGTAGGTAAGAGGATAGCTGAAAATTATAGAATGAATGCTTTTCGAGAGCTTCTAAATGACTGTTCCTTAATGGACTTGGACAGTAAGGGTTGCGCATTCACTTGGGCAAACAATAGGGAAGGCGATGATTTTGTGAAGGAAAGGCTGGATAGGGTTGTTTGTACAGTGGAATGGCAATTACTGTTCCCAGAAGCTGAAGTTTTTGCACTACCTGCTATTGGATCAGACCACAGTCCAATTCTATTATCTTTGGAGGCAGATCGAGTGAAACGAAAAAAGGAATTTAAGTTTGAAGCATTTTGGCTGGAAGATGTGGAGTGCCGAGATGTGATTACTTATTCTTGGGAGTCCCCTCTTTTAAAAGAGACAGATCTTTCCAGGAAATTACGTGCAGTGACTCTTGCACTTGCCAAATGGAGCAGGAAGAGGTTCTCCAATGGGCATCAAAAGATCAATTATTTGAAACAAGAACTTCAACAGCTTATAAACAGTAACAGTGACTTCTATGATAGGGAGCGAGTATGTCTTTTACAATGGGAGATTGGAAAATTGTGGCAGCAAGAGGAAATGTACTGGAGAATGAGATCCAGAATTAACTGGCTTCAATGGGGTGATAAAAATACTAAATTCTTCCATGCGACCACTATCCAATGAAGGCTAAGAAACAGAATCAAAATGCTGCAGAACTCAGATGGAGATTGGATTAGGGACCAGGACCAACTGAAGAATATGACCATAGATTATTTTGAAAATTTGTATCAATCAGTTGGGTTTCGAGACTTCCAGCCTGTGTTGGATCAGTGCCCCCAGGTGGTGTCGAAGGAAATAAATGACCAGTTAGTAGCTGAGGTTACTTTAGAGGAAGTAAAGGGAGTAGTTTTCCAGCTAGGGGCCTCAAAAGCACCCGGGCCGGATGGTCTTAATGGGCTATTTTATCAACACCATTGGGAAATTTTGAAGTGCAATATTTTCAAAGCAGTGAGAGATTTTTTTGTATCCGGGGTGATGCAACCAGACTTTAACAAAACCGTGATTTCCCTCATACCCAAAATCCCTAACCCAGAAAGACTAGAACAGTTTCGCCCTATTAGCCTGTGCAACTTTGTATACAAAATTATCGCTAAGGTGATAGCTAACCGATTGAAGACTTGGTTACCCGAACTAATTGCAATGGAGCAAAGTGCATTCGTGAGTGGGAGACAAATTCAAGACAACATCCTGGTTGTGCAAGACGTACTCCATCAACTTAGAGTCAGAAGGCGAAAGAAGAAATTTCAAGCCATATTGAAGTTGGATATGCAAAAAGCCTATGATCGAATAGAGTGGGATTTTTTGGAGGCCTGCCTAATCAAAATGGGATTCCACCATAAGTGGGTACAATGGGTGATGCAATGCGTATCTACTATTTCCTTTAGTGTGAAATTTAACGGACAACCTTCTCAGTACTTTCAACCGTCAAGGGGTATTAGACAAGGAGACCCGCTATCCCCTTATCTCTTCATCTTGGTGGCAAATGTTCTATCTACGCTTATCAAGAAAGCCGTGGAGATTGGCAACATCAAAGGCATCAAACTAAACAGGTGGTGTCCCACTCTTTCCCACTTATTCTATGCAGATGATTCTATCTTCTTTTTAGACGGGAAGTTACAGGAATGCCAGAATCTGGCTAACGTTCTAAACCAGTATTGTCTAGCTTCAGGACAAACGATTAATCTCAACAAGTCTGGAATATTTTTCAGTAGAGATTGCCCTCAAAGCCTAAAAGTAAATCTAGCTAGAGAGCTGAGAGTTCCTGTGATTAATAAAACAGGTAAATATTTAGGAATTCCATCGGATTGGGGATGTTCTAAAAAAGAAATGTTCGCATGGATCTTGGGGAGAGTGAATACTAAACTGGAAGGATGGAAGGAGAATTTAATGTCCAAAGCAGGAAAAGAAATTCTTATTAAAACTGTGGTTCAGGCTCTTCCACAGCATGCAATGTCTATTTTTAAAGTCCCAGTGTCCATTTGTAAGACAATTGAGCACAGAATTGCTGCCTTTTGGTGGAAGAACACTGTAGCTAAACCAGGCATGCATTGGAAAAGATGGGAAATTCTCAAAATTAGGAAAGACATGGGAGGGTTAGGCTTCAGAGACTTAATTGTCTTAAACAAAGCAATGCTGGGTAAACAGGCCTGGAGACTCTCTCAGAACTCGTCATCTCTTTGGAGCCAGATACTAAAAGGAATCTACTTTCCACATAGAGACTTTTGGCATGCGGAAGAAGGCACACATTCTTCGTGGGGGTGGCAAAGCTTACTAATGGGAAGAGACTCAATTGCTCATCAGGTGCAGTGGTCAGTGGGGGATGGAAAGAAAATAAGAGTTAGAGAAGACAAATGGTTGAGAAGGGGAGTAATTGGAGGACCTGCACCCAGAGGTGAACCTTCCTTGATGGCTGATTTCATTAATTCAGAGGAGAATACATGGAATACCCAGCGTCGTAAGGATAGCTATGATGCTCAAACAGTCAATGAAATTCTATCGATCCCAGTTAGACCTCAAATAACAAATGACCAGTTGATATGGACAGGGACTCAATCAGGCGAGTATTCAGTAAAGAATGGATACAACAGCATAAAAGCAGCCGAGCACAACAAAAGCCATGATTCAGCATCATCTTCCTATCAAGTGCCCCGTAGCCTTTGGAGAAGGATTTGGAATTTGAAAATTACTCCTAAAGTAAGAATTTTTATGTGGTCTCTATGCCAAAATGCTTTACCCACAAAGGAAAATCTCTATCGAAGAAAAATCGTACTAGATCCGTTTTGCACATTGTGCAATGAAGAAGTCCCAGAGACAATCGAACACCTTTTCCTGTTATGCCCATGGACAAACAGAGTTTGGTCACACCCACAACTTGGCATACATATTCCATCACAAGGTTTATCAAGAATCGAAGCTTGGTTAGCAAATCGGACAGCAAATCGGGACAACTCACCTGATCTGGAAGTCATAGCCTCGGTCCTTTGGCAGATATGGAAGGCGCGGAACCATTTCGTATTCAGAAAACAACGCCCAGATCCGGCTTTTACTGTGGAAACCGCTCTCGCAAGTTCGAGAATCATTAGCACTTGGGGCTTGCACAACGCGAAAACCCTCCAAAACCCAACCAGCTCATCCCAGATTTGGTGTCCACCGACACTCGGGAATCTTAAAATAAATATTGATGGAGCCTACACACCGGGAAGGGAAGAAGGAGTAGTAGCTTGCGTGTGTCGTGATCACCAGGGAAGGCTTGTTGACGGATTCTCTTCTTTTGTCCGTGCGGCTTCCTCCCTACAAGTGGAAACACATGCTTTGTTACAAACCCTAAAATTTCTGCTCCAGCGTGAGAGAGAAAAGGAGAATCTAGTGTTGGAGTCAGATAATCTTACTTTGGTCAATGCCTTGCACAGTCCCTGTCAGACACCTTGGGAGGTCAGAGCGTTAGAGTGTTTTCCTCATATTCGGATCCAACACTGTAGAAGGGAGGCAAATTTTATTGCGGACTGGGCTGCTAAAGCCCACGGACGCAATTCCCTACCTTCAAATTGGGTTGTTTCGCCTCCTCAAACTCTTTTAGACCTTTTATGTACTGAAGCCCATTTAATGGGTCTTTTTGGTTCTCCTACTTAAATGAAATGTAGCTTTATTTCGACCAAAAAAAAAAAAACAGTATGTCCTATGCTACAAGAAACATCTCATCATGGCATTAACCCCCTCCTCTCATATGGTCGTGGTTCTCATGGGTCCAATTTCACATGTCATGTGAAAGCTAAATCGGGTACACAGACGGGGCCATCAAAATTGAGTTAATTTTGTGAAGTATACGTATTTCATGCTTGCTTTTATCTGAAATAGCATGTAATATATTTGCAGAAGTTCAAATTCCTTGGAAGAGTGGAGGGACAAATCGAGGAACTGAAAGGAGAGGTGAGGAAGATGCTGGCTGGTGTCATGGATAAGCCTTCACGGATGCTTCACTGGATTGATCAGATCCAACGCTTGGGAATTGACTACCATACAAGGCTGATCTCCAACAATCAGAATATGCAGGCCGGTAAAAAATGACTCAGGCTATAGCTGCCAGAGAAACTGCACCCCTCGAGGGCCAATAAGCTGTTGGAGGGGCGGAGGTACCAGCCATTGGAAGAAAAAATTTCATTGATGACTGTATCAAGGAAACCCGTTGTTGGGAGGCGAGGTAGGTGGTGGCCTGGGCCTTGCGTACTCGGCAAATATGACCCAACCATGTAGATACTGCATAACACCAAATAATTCGGTAAGAAAACAGAGAGAGTGGGCTTGTATGGGTCTTCAGTGTTCTGCTATGACGAGAACAGCAGTTCAATTACCATACATCTTGTCAGTGATTCAAATGATGAAAGAAATAAACTTGTCAGGAGCATGTTTACACCCCTACTTCAGTTTCTCATATCAGATGAGAAGTTTCTGAAAACACGAGTGATTGTAGATGTAAATGGCACTACAAGGCATAACGTGGACTGAATTACTCTCCAGGAAACAGATTTCAAATGTGCATATGTTCCAATAGCCAATGATCATGAAAATGCATATATCCACAAGAAAGGAAAGAAAGAACAACTCCTAATGCCACAATTCACTGATGCATGCACGCATGTGCAAGCTAGAGAGAGAGAGAGGTTTCCCTAATTAGTAGTCAAACAGAACTGGGTTGGTGCTGTAGAGGGCTGGAAAAGTTATCAGACGTAATGACATTTAGTCTGATGAGCAACCTGATGGCGATTGGCTCAAGTTCAGTTTAGATAACCCAATTATGCCTACAAGTGATTTTGAGGAATGGAGGAGCCTTGCTTCTGTTGACTCACCCTAACATCAACACATTGAGTAGAATTTTCTTCCTTCATCGTTTTAATAAGTAGGTTGGAATGTATGTGGAGGGTAAGGTCTATGCATTTTGATTTACTTGGGGATCATGAATTTTATTGCACGTAAACATGACAGAGATAGCTTTTCCCAGAGAGATCATGAATTTTATTGCATGCAAACATGAGAGAGAGGATCATGAATTTTATTGCACATAAACATGACAGAGATAGCTTTTCCCAGAGAGATCATGAATTTTATTGCATGCAAACATGAGAGAGAGTTTTCCCCAGATGAACTCTCCACATGCATTCAGCATAGAGTTCTTCAGTTACCATTGCATTTAAAATATAGAACCACCAACTTTATTGAACTTTTCTTTCTTAATGGTGCCAGCACCTACTTCGAGAATTATTCAACAGCCACAACTGATATGGGTCCTTTTGCCCATTCACAAAGAGATGGTATCCTTTCATTCCATGCTTTAATGTAGTTCCTTCAATTTTTGTGAAGAGACTTATGGTTTAAAAGGTTACTGAGACTCTAACCTTTTCTACATAGAGCCAAAATCTCAAGACGCCATAATCACTAAAGAGAATTCTGAGAATGTTGTCGACAGACTTAGAGAGATATACATTTCTATGATATCTGGGGAACATTTCACAACACCTCAATCTTAAGCCTAATTAAGTTTCAAAATTGCTCATTCCAACTAGTGAAATGTTCACAGATATACATGTCCAAAATCAAAGTAAAATCTCTTCTGTTCATAACCAAAAGAAAAACAGAGTTTTGGTCTATGCAATACCTTAAACACATATACCCTGTATCAATCATGCCAACGTAACAGTTATTTGCAAAACACTGTTATTACTGCCAGAGGAGCAAAAGCAGAGAGACAAATGCAAAACTCACCTTTCCATTCATACCCTCGACACCTTTTGCAGCATCTTCCAATGTAGCATATCTGACAAAGCCAAAACCCTTTGAATATCCTGAAATTCGGTCAGACACCACCCTAGCTGTATGGAACCAAAATGTCGCAAATTAAGTGCTTCAAGCTTTGCCAGGGTAACTAATAAGTAATCATTCAGAGGTAGAGCAAACCATGAACGACTTCACCAAACTGAGAAAAGGCTTCGCGTAGTTTCTCCGTAGTAGTACGTTTACTCAGCCCTGAGTTTATTGTCAATCTCCAAATCAGATAATCCAAAGCATAATTAATTAAATGTCAGTGCCAGGCCCAAGTACATAGCCAATGAGAATTATTCAAGATTGCATTTAAAGATGACTTAATTAAACAAAAAATATGCTCAAGCAAATGATGGTGTACTCCAATTATTATTGGCAGCCAGAGTTTCGGCACAGAAGCAAAGACGAAGCAAAGAACAAGAACATGGAATAACCTACCGCTTTTCAACATACAAGCCACAATCATCCACCACCCTCTCGTCCAGAGTGAACAAAGTGTGTAACGATGACTGCAGTCCAAATATTTTCACTCGACCGAAAGCTTTCAAGTTACAACTTAGAATTCAGCCTGGCCCTCTTAGGAAGAGATGTACAACAAGTCAAAAACTACTTGAGAATAGCTCTTTGATTTGCAAGCATATGTAACTCACCCAGTGTTTCTTCGGAAATGGAGATACATTCGCATTTCCTAATTATAAGTAATCCATCTGATTAATATGCCTTTACTGGAAGACCTATTACAAACCTCAGGCAAAATGCTTATCAAGCATATGCTTGTCAAACCCCTCGAGTAACAAAGGTCTAATAAACCATTGCAGCTCAATCATCTACATGACATCCACATCATTCTCAAAATCAATTGATCTGAAACTTTCTTGTCGCCCAAGCATCACCAAATAGCTCCAAGTTCCCAACTTTCTGAAAACCCAATCACGCAAAGTGCTCCAAACTCTTAACATTTCTAGACCCATCTCACTGATCAAGAAGAAAACAAATTGCCACTGAGACAAAGTACTTCCGGGCATCGCATCAAGAGAAGAGACGCGACATGATAGTTAGCAATAAAAGAGAGCAAAGAGTCGAGACAGAGACAAGGCTAGCGAGGGATACATATAATCGTCATAAAAAGTAGTCACCTGAGACAAATAGGTTGGTGTTGGGCTCAGGCTCCACTCGGGACTCAGCCGCCGCCGCCGCCGCAGTCGGCGGAGGAAAGAACGAAGAGGTTGAGAACAGCCTCCTCAAGCCGCGAGGCGCCGCCAGGCTCCGCGCCATGGATGGGTCGTGGAATCAGCTTTCACGGCGACGGGAAGAGAGAGAGAGAGAGCATTTCGGGGTTTTCGAGGAAAAGATGAGGGCTTATTCGTCAGGTTGATTTATATGAACGTTTACAACAATTTTTACACTTCAAATACATTATCCTTAATTTTTGACCAAAAATCAAAAAATATATATATGATCCTTAAATTCTTATTTAACCTTATATCCATACATTCTGATTTTTTTTTCACTAATATCATGTGACTACATCCCACATAACTCAAATACATAAGCACAACAAATTGAAAGTTCTTTTTTATTTAGAAATCGATAATTATCAGGAATTGCTTGCCTGTATTTTGTGAGTGAAACTATAATAAAAACTTTATTTCACATGTAAAATTATTTGACATGAAAAGTGCACGAAGTACATTCTCATCGTCCACGGTATTCACCAATCTATCATATTGCCTTGGGTTAGTGATGGTTTACCTCAATTATGTTAGTTTGTCTCCTTTTTCCATAAAAACTTTTAAAAGCATCCTCCTGTAAAGTCGTCAAATAGGTGAAACGGATTGGGTTTGGATTGGGTTGAATATGGTTCAATCTAAATTGACCTATTTATATGCAACGCAAATTTAGTAACACATACTCAAATCGGCCTGACCCATTTAGTAAAGTAGAATTGATTGTCAAATACAAATTTTCCACATAAACAAATGGTAGTACAATGTGGAATAACCACAACAAAAAAAAACTAGAAAGATGGTCCAAGCAATTTCAAATTATGCTTAATTGGTTCAACCCAAAAAAGAAAAGGCACTCATTAATGTTTTCTTCCAAAATTTCGAAAACCTAAATGTTCGAAATATATCATATTTTCGGCGTTAAATGAGATATAAATACAAAACATTACGAGAAAACGAAAAGGTGAAAAAAGAAATGATAAGTGAAAGTCAAAAACATAACTCTAGGAGAAACGAGAAGAGTATCTTGGACAAGACAAGGTCGACAAAGGTTGGTGAGATGTTCTATAACAATGTTGAGGGCACGTCCCCATCTAAAATTGGAGTTTTCTTTGGTGAGTTTTCTTCATATTTCTAAAATAATCCTTGGCCATTATCGAGTGAGAAATGCGTGCAAGCACAGCCTACATGAATGAGCAAATCGTGTTAATTTTCAATCTAATCTTAATCCAATTTAATATATTCTAATACATTATACTAAAACCAGGCTTTTGCAACTTGCAAGCAATTGATGTGAGCAGATTTTTATTATGTGATTTTTCCATTTTTAGTTGACTTTTTTATGTAAAGATGAAGGTTGCTTTAGTTTCTTTCTTTCTGGGTTCATTTTCCCTCTTTGGAATTTCAACATCATATCAAGAGGTGAAGAGAAAGTGCTGCAAACAAAAATTTACAAACACCTATATTTTTACAAAAGTATAGGGACAAAGATTAGCTTTGTTGTTTACACTTGATAATATTAGACTTTGTGATGGAAATATATCTCGAATTATACTTCCCAATAATATAGATTGTCAAATTACTTCTTTTTGTTCCAATACAAGATGGAATGGAATACGGTATTTTTTGTTTTTGTTAACTAAAAGAATGATGGGTATTTAAAGGATGGCGAGAAAGAAACTGTGTCAATGAAATATAAAAACTCGTAGATGATAAATATAATTTATATATAGAGAAATAGGACATATACAATATTTGATAAGAATAACATGAATTTATTTACTAGATAATTCAATTTTATGACATATAAACTAATATTTATTGTTTACACGCGATATTTTTGTTTTTTCTTTTAATTTTTTAAATCATAATCGTTGCTGCAATTGAGTCCTCAAACTTTTAGATTAGCACGTAAGAAATTATTGATAAAAGGCAAATTCCTTGCGCGTCACACCCGAGAACAAATCCCATCCCACAATTCATCCTCCAGCTTTTCCTGCACTCTAAGCATCTCCACCTTTATTTGGGGGGGAGGGGGAAATTCTTCTTTTTGATCAAATTTTCATTTTTCAAGAAAAGGGGGGGCCTAGAAGATGATGTGTGTCCACACTGCCATGCACATCTGCATAATCCATAACAAGATAATAAGCACACGTCATGTGTGCACACATATATGAACAAATTCCTCTTGTTAGATGATGATGATGATGATGAAGCTGCTCTTACCTACTTTGGACTTTGCCCCATTGCCTTGGGTCTAAGCTCTCTCTCTTCCCTTGTGGACTTTGCATTTCTTTAGTTCTCCTCTTCTGCAGTTTCTTGAACCAACGCTCTTCATATAACAAGTGTATTCAAGCAAGAAACTCTTTTTGCTTGTCCTATTAGCCAATCTCACGCTTTTCACTTCCCTCTCCAACGTTTCCTCTTTCACCTACAGTCACCTGTAGACATCACCCTTGAACGTGTACTCAAACGGACGAGAGAGAGAGAGAGAGAGGTTATTGAATCTGAAGTCACCTTTCATCAGCCACTTCAGCTTCATTAGTTTTCTTCTTCAGCCTAATTCTTCACCTTCAAAACATAGACAGCAAACAAAGCATTCCTTGCTTTTCCCCTTCTCATAAGGGATCCCCAGGAATTGCCATAAGAAGCCCAGGAGTTCTTTAGAGATAAACCACTCAGTCACACCATGAGAGTCGCCTTAATGCAGATTCTTTTGATGTTCTACTTCTTCTCAAACTCAGAGTCTATCGGCAGAGATGATTTTCCAGATGGGTTCGTCTTCGGAACCGCTTCTTCGGCTTATCAGGTTGCTTTCCGGACACCCCCAATTCCGTTTCTGATAGAACTTGCAGTATATGACGAAGAACCAATTATCGTCGAGGATGTATTAATTGTCTGTTATGGCAGTTTGAAGGGGCTGTCAATGAAGGAAACAAAGGAGCAAGTATATGGGATACCTTCACGAGGCAACCAGGTAATAGTTTTTTACTTGTGAAGCAATCTAATGATTACTGAAACGAAGTCTGGACGGAAAGGCGACTTTTGCTTCTTTATTGACGTTGTTACCAGGTAAGATACTAGATTTCAGCAATGCGGACACTGCTGTCGATCAGTACCACCGGTTCAAGGTATATCTCCAAGACTAGTAAGTTTACCTTGTATTGCATTTACTCTATGCCCAACTTGCATCAGACAAACAGTAAACATCAACCACCACCTGGCCTCCTGTCTCTCAAGTTTGTCGATCATTTCGGGGTACTAAGAATGAACAAATGGTAATACGCTTGCAGATGCCAATGGATGCCAAAACCATCTGTGACCAATTACAGGGGAGGATTTCACTTCAGCAAAATATAGTCTTAGCTTGCCCTTTCTTGGAAACAGTACTAATGTGAAAAAGAAGAATGAGAATGACAGACGACAGCGACATATCACCCAGTTTATTAATTCGTAGTCTGAAGCATACTTAAAATAAGGAATATTTTATACATGTGAAAAACGAAAGGCCTTAACTTACTCAAACAGAAATTTTTGCTTATCCTTTATAAATGTAACTAATCAAAGGCTAATTAAAAAATATTGCAGGATGACATAGGCTTGATGAAGGATCTGGGAATGGATGCTTACAGATTTTCAATATCTTGGCCAAGAATTTTACCAAGTAAGAACTCCATCGCCCCCACTTTTTTCATTGTTAACCGTCTTCTTGGTCTATCCTTTTCACCAAAGCCCTAATTTTCCAGAATTCTTGAAAAACAGATGGAACAGGGGAACCAAATAAAGAAGGGTTGAATTACTACAACAGACTTATCGATGCTTTATTGGAAAAAGGTCCTATTTTTGGTTTTGCTTAACATCTGATTACGCCAAGAATAGGTTGATATTAAGGCCAGCTTGTGGTTTTCAATCAGGAATCGAGCCTTATGTAACGCTATATCATTGGGATCTTCCACAGATGCTCGAAGATGAGTACGAAGGATGGCTAAGTGAAAGAATAGTGTGAGTTTATATTGATCCCAAAATGCATTCGCTAACAGGAAAATGGTAAATGATCCATACTCACAGAAAATCCCCGGATCACTTGCAGCAAAGATTTCGAGAACTATGCTTCCGCCTGCTTCCACGCTTTTGGAGACCGAGTGAAATACTGGATTACATTCAATGAACCTCATGGCTTCTCAATACAAGGCTATGACTCTGGACTTCAAGCGCCCGGGAGGTGCTCTATTCTCGGCCATGTATTCTGTAAAAGGGGCAAATCGTCTGTTGAACCCTACATTGTGGCTCACAACATCCTCCTGTCTCATGCTGCTGCTTACCAAAACTATAAGCTGAATTTCAGGGTACTACTCCCAGCTTCTGCCAATCACAAATTTATCCAGGAAACAAAACCCTTTCAAAAATTTCACTTGCCTTTGGGCAGGAAAAGCAAGGAGGTCAGATAGGAATATCACTAGACGCCAAATGGTACGAACCGATATCAGACAGCGACGAGGACCAGGATGCTGCAAATAGAGCGATGGAATTCAGCATTGGCTGGTAAGTTGCTAATAGATAACTTTTTTCATGATGTACCGATCAGTGGTCAGCGATAAAGATGTCTGAGCAGCTTAAGTTTACCCAGGTTCCTTGATCCACTTTTCTTTGGGGAATACCCTCTTTCAATGAAGAATCTAGTAGGGGAAAGACTGCCTGAAATCTCATTGGAGATGTCCAAGTTCCTGATGGGTTCCTTGGATTTTGTTGGACTGAATCATTACACAACGCTATACGCCCGAAATGACAGGACCCGTATTCGGAAGCTAATACTTCAGGATGCTTCCTCTGATAATGCTGTTATAACAACGGGTATGCAGTCGAAGAAAAGTTCAACCTATTTTCTTGTTACACCCAAAGATATATTGGAACTGCTACTCATATTGAATATCTTTCTGTGGTTTTGTTAATTGTAGCTTTTCGAGCAGGAGTTGCTATAGGAGAAAGAGTATGTTCCTGCTGTTCTTTATTTTGCAATATGTAGTTAAAACAGGTTCGAGTCAAAACAGATGGTTTATATATTTCCTCTTCCAGGCAGCTTCCCGGTGGCTACATGTGGTGCCGTGGGGCATCAGCAAGTTAGCTAGACATGTAAGAGATAAGTACGGAAACCCGCCAGTCGTCATAACAGAAAACGGTGAGTGATTAAATCACAAAGCGCTTAAGATTACCCTTATAGACGCAATTATTCACAAAAATTTCAGAACAACTGAATGAACGACGCTCGAAATCACCTCTACATATCAATAGGACATTCTTTATTGCGAATGTGAATCAACTATGCAGGTATGGATGATCTTAATAGACCTTACGTAGGTTTGAACAAGGCTTTACAGGACGGCAAGAGGATAGAGTATCACAGAGACTATCTGTCAAACCTATCTGCTGCTATAAGGTAACACCGGAATCCGTGTTTTGTCTACATATTGCCGATATATGGAAGCTTGAGAATTGAGGCCGTGCTTATGGAGAATGACTTAATTACAGGCAAGATAACTGCAACGTGCGCGGCTATTTTGTCTGGTCTTTGCTCGACAACTGGGAGTGGAACTCGGGATACACAGTTCGGTTCGGACTCTACCATATTGATTATAAAAATAACCTCACAAGAATTCCCAAATCATCAGTTGAGTGGTTCAAAAGTTTACTCAGGTCACAAGGTGATCTAAGCAACCAGATTTAAATTGTGTCCTTCCAAATTTAATCAAGCACATGCTGTATTTTGCCTTGGGAATTTGAAAAACCAATGAGCAAGGGAAAAAAGACAGAAAAACATATGTAAATGAAATTGAATACCACAGCAATTTTTTCTTACTCCAGCTTACTTTTTAAGATGAATATCTCATTCTCATTTACTGTGGATATACTGGGCCAAGACAATGGCAACTAATATGAGCAGATCAGATTGTAACAGTGACCAAGTTCTTCGGACTTTGCTATAACAATGCAGCGTTCTCTAACATTTCCGCATGCTCCTTCTCAACCAGATCAACAATGCTCATATTGTTACTGATATAGCACCAGTAGCTCTGATTGCGACCGAGTTTGAGCTCAGTTGAAGGAGGTCAGAGTCGGACTAATTACAACAATGTAGCATAAGTTTACTGAGCCTTAACGTGTTCACAGAATAATGTCAATTGCCAGAAATTTTAAGCATGAGGGAGAAAAAAAATGCAAGCACAAAAAAACTTAATGAGCAACTTATGGCCAAAGTATGTGAGACATTAAGTGATCAACAAAGTTGATTGCAGAAGTTCGAAGAGACGTCACTCGAAAATGCATTATCCGTTAATTGGCAAAGTGGTCAACGTGACTAACAACTGAGAGGCCCTGTGGATGCACGAAAACCATCTCATCCCCGGGCACGATCGAAAAGGTGAAAAGTGGAACCAAAGCTTTTTAAGCAGGCCAAAAGAGATAGGGTGGTGCAAATTCTGAGGTGCAATATGCAGTTTTTTTTAGAGTCCGGTTACCATGATTCGTAAACTTCACTTCCGTTTCAACGATGTAATTTTGCTCATAATGGAAATTTGATCCACCGAAGCTTACTTACGTCAAGATAAGCATGTTTTGCGCTATTTATCGTTCATCTGCATTTAATCAATAACTAATCACCTCAACTTGTAAATGACTATTTCGATCGAGAATTGCATTTACATGCACGTAAACGATCATACTTCTTCAATACCAGAAAAAGAGCTACAGGAAGACAATTAATTAAGCAGAAACATATGTTTTAGTCCTGTCAAAGGTTGATTAGAACTATATGCCCTTAACAACAGCAACAATACTGGGTAACACAGCGTCGAAAACGATGGAGTAAGCCCTCTCAGTCGGGTGCACCAAGTCCCAAAATACGTACTTTGATGCATCCGGACAAACGTAGGAATTCATATTGCATGAGAATGACACTTTGACGATGCCTGTCCCACAGCATCCGCTATTCACGTCTTCGAAACCTACCCAACAAAAAGAAACATCAAATGCACATAATTAACCAGCTGTAAGATACAGATTTTTCATGAATTAAACACAAGAGGACATAATTTTAGAGAATTAATCTGAAAACTCACCAAAACTGGTCGGGGCTTTGATCATTTGCATCAGAGGATTGTATATGTCAATGTAATTTATGACTACACCGAGAGATTGCGTGCTCTTTTCCATCTTGCCTAGTTCCTTTTGAAGCATCTTGTTGTAATTCCAAGCGACCGAGGAGAATTCCTCAATGCAGCCACGATCTTCAAAAGGGTCGCCTGAATTAAGGTTGATGACCACAGGTAAGCAACCCATTGGCGGCAGTCCGACAACCGCAATTCTTCGAGCCCCTTGATTCAACAAAGTCTACATTGACAGTATCATCCGATCATGAGTCTAATCAGGCTGAAGTTACGCTACTTCAAAACAATAAAATTACGAATTAAGTGAACAGAATTATTGACTTCGAGGCGGGTAAAGTACCTCCTTAGAGGCACTCTCTATGTTTTTTGGATCTAGATCGCTGTATCAGGTAAGTTCTCCTCAAGGTAGAACAAAGCTCTTACAAATCTCTCATGAAAGTGGGAAATGGAATTCAAAAAACAATAAATAGACGTATAGATCACATCTCTTAACACACATCACAGCTTCAATATAGACAGTCATTGTTAACTATCAACAATAACAAGTAACTATCCAAGCAAGATTGTCTCTAAGAATGTTCTGATATAGAGCGAAAAGTGAGCATCGAAACCATTAGTATCGTATCTGCAATATGTATAGGGGCTCAAAGATTTTGAGTAATCAACCTGAGTGAAATTTTTTACATGATTCAATATGAACTGCTGGTACATTTGGGGAGTGAAGCTTTGCCGTCTGAAAGGAAGACCATAGTAATTGTTAATGAAGTCGTTGGTTCCGCAACTAATCACAAACAAGGCCTCATTGATGATGTTTCTGGTTCGGTCCTTTCCGATTGCCATCTCAAGCCTTTTCCTGTACGCTTTGAAGTACTGCAATTGCTTCTTCATTGATATCACATTCTACACATTCATAAACAGAGGAGGACCAAAAAGAAACAATAATTACGATTAGTGGAGACTAAGGTTCAGTCTTCTTTGTAGCCAAGCGCGATTACTAGTAAGTACTGACAGAAGTGGAAGAATTGCCTACGGGTATTTCAGCAGTAAAAGGGTCATATCCGGAGCCTGCGGAGGCGAAACAAACTCCGGTCATTAGATCTTCCGTGCTGAGCGACGGGTCTAAGTACGGTGGCACAAGTTCTTTAACCCCAAAGTATGAAGCTGTAACACAGTATATGCTCACAAGCAACACACAAATTAAGCGACCATACTTCGATATTACTTAGTCGTTCAGAATAAGAGAAAAACTTCACCTATAAGATCAGGAATCAACCTCCCGTTGCTGAACCTTCCTGTTGGAGTGTGGTTCACGAAGTCTTGCCCATAAGGTGGGACATTGCCCTTGGAGAGAGTGTTTATGTAGTCATTATTTCCCGTATCGACCGTCGAGTCTCCAAACACAATGACAGCCGAGACCGAGCTGCCGTTTGAGGGCCTTTGCAGCGTCAGGATCCGAGTACAAACCCCACCATTGAAGACCGGTACTAGTGTGACATAGAAAACAATAATGTGGTTAAGAAGAAGAGCAAGACCATGCTCTTTACTCAAAGCCATCTAGCTAGACCCGTCTGTTTGTCTCACAGGTCAAATGAGATTCTGGAATGAAGAACTGTATTGGACCTTTCATTTGTGGAGTACCTCACACTGTCATGTTCACCAAGACTGTCGGCACTCTAGAGGGTGAAGCAACTGAAGAAAGTTTTGTTAATGGCGATCTCAGATTGGCTTCCACTTTTGATGTGGTGGTAGGTCATGCATTAACCACTCAGCTCTGCGTGGACGATCATTATATTACTGCCTTTCACTTAAATTATAAGGACAAGTCTCCAGCTACCTTGAGGCCGGAACTGCGAGCAAAATTAAACACCAAGGGCTAGTCGAGACGTAAATCGTGATCATCATGCTCGTAGTTATCTAAACTCGTTCTACTAGATTCATCCTAACGCATCAAGAAACAGCGGGGTCCTTCCCATAGGATTCCCAGTAAAGTAAACTGTGATTATGTCGTTCAACCAAATCAATCAAGAAATGATCATCTACGCTTAATGTCGAAAAAGATGCGTGCTTCTTACTAGTGCCCAACTGAGAATACTCTCTTATTGCCTAAGTTACATCCAAGGTTAGAGATTTGGCGATGAAGTCCGTGCATCAGCATGCGAGGGAGCAGGTGCTTGAAAGGGAAAGATGGTTGTCCGTCCCGGCGTCTAGTTGGCTAATACGATGTCCAGGAGTCAAGATACCATATCTCGTGTAGATTTCAGATATCGGAAGTGTCTTTTTATGATCGTCTTTAGTTCATTCTCAAATTTGCATGACTTCAAATTGATGTGCCGACTATCATTGCATGTGTATCCGTTGAAATGTAATCTTAGTATTCATGAGGATGTCCAAATCATTCAAATCAAAATGTAATATGGGCCTACTCTAGGTAAGTTCGGCCCTCTAAGGTTGTGCAATTGCTTTCCCAACCCAGCCCAAATCCCGTATGAGTATGAACATTAACGACCAACCGGACTAGTAAAGCTTTCGACCCAAAAAAAAAACACTTAGTTCCATGCTTTATTCAAATGCTCCACATTAATCAAATAATTTAATTCCTCATATATCTTATGATCTTGATGTGTACTTATATTCAAGAGGACGGATAGGCAAAACGTAATCTTGTGAGTACATATGAATAACGAATTAATATAAAATCAATTTTTTTAAGACCGTCCACCTTAAATGTGTTCATAACTAATTACATAGTGTTCATGACTAATTACATAGTGTTCATTAAAAAGTCTTTCGATGAGATCAATAAACCGGCACGACGTGATATAGCTCACGCCATGGTCGAGAGCAAGAGAAGACAGAGCTTCAAAACGGCACGCGAGATCGGGCAACAAATGTACGGGCCTATAGGAGACGAAATCACGATCATAACCGATCCCGATGTATTTAAAATACTCATTGCGAAAAGGGTTTCCGTCCGTTCGCGAAAAAAGCTTTCCGGTGCTGAAAAATTGATCGAGTGATGGATGACACGACCGAGCTCTGCCCTTGCAAGAATCGCGAGATCTCGAACCTGATTCTTACCGGAGTTTCATCAAATCGATTGGAGTTCAAAACAAGAGGAACAGAAAAGAAAATGATGTCCACCGACCTTTTACAATGCGGCGCTATAAGCCCCCGGTCGAACCGCACCCGGTGAATTCCCTCATCGCTTCCCCCTGTCGCAGCGCCGTCCCCTCGTCGGCTCCGGGCGATTCTTCGTCGCCGCCGCAGCCGCCGCCGCCGCCGTCGCCGTCGTCATCTCTTTAGCTCTCGCTTCTTGGAACCCAATTCGTCCTGCTATCTCCTTCGTCCTTTTCTTGTTCCTCCCGGCCGTGCGCTTCGCCTGTAACGAAGCCGAACCGGAAAGGAGCCCCAAGTTCGATCCTTTCCGTCGTTTCGCTGTCGTGGGCGATGAAAAGAGGATACGCAGAACCGTCTCCGTCCACGTCGGTCGGCCCGCCTCAGTCCAGATTGAAGTACAACCCTGAAGGTAGTTCTTTTGCTGCCCCGGCTTTGATTCTTTTTTTTTATGTTTTACGTCGCGGAATTGCGAATTTGATGCTTCTGGATGGCAAGATCTAGTTCTTCAATCGACACCCATTTGGTTTTGAGCCCTTTACTGTGGCTTGTCTTGTTTGGGGATCGATGATGGAGCTGGAATGACTGGTTTATACTGTTGCTTGCCCCTTTTGATACCGAGAATCTGTTAAGTTTTTGGCTTTTTGGTATATGAAAGATGAACCTGTGGCAAGAGTTTCTGTTGCTGAATCTTACCTCTTCAATTTCCTCTGGCATTGCTCTGCTGACATTAGATTGCTTTGAGCTGTCACTGTAGGTGATGCCCAGTTTTTAGAAGATGAAAGCACCAAGATTTTCGCCCGGAAAGTTGCCGACCATTACAGTGCGAGGACGAACCAGACCCTTGAAGAGAGGGAAGCTAGTCCCATTATTCACTTGAAGAAACTTAATAATTGGGTACGCGCTCTGGTTTTCTATGTACATTAGCTCTTGAAGATGGCAGATGACTGTAGACCTCTCTAATGTCTTAACTCTTATGTTATGCAGATTAAAAGTGTCTTAATTCAGTTATATGCCCGACGTGGGGATGCAGTTCTTGACCTTGCGTGTGGCAAGGTGATTATTAGCTCTCTTATGTCTATGTTCATTTTCAGAAATTAGTTTATTTCCTTTTCAGTTACTTGGATATCTTTCGAAAATGTTTTTTTCCTAATCACTAGGGTGGTGATCTCATTAAATGGGACAAAGCAAAAGTTGGGTATTACGTTGGGATAGACATAGCTGAAGGCTCGGTAAGGATCAATCTCTCTGAGCTGTTGTATTTGACTCTCTCCTGTTTATAATTTACTCGTTCAATCTTTTTGTACATAGCTAATATGATTATAGCAAGAGAATTTACTGCATGTAAAATGTCTAATGTTCAGATCGAAGATTGCCGTACCCGTTATAATGGTGATGCAGACCACCATCAGCGACGTAAGAAGTTCACATTTCCGGCACGCCTCATATGTGGAGATTGTTTTGAGGTAATTGTGAGCATAGCTGTCAGAGGAAGGTCATAGTTAATTGGTTCTTCACTACAAACAGTAAGAAGCTGTGAAGTTTTCGCGAAGCTCCTTTCCTTCTTTGGTTGGCCAACCTTGGAAGTACTGTAATTTCGAGAAGGGATGTGGTTTCCCATCGTGTTTAAAGGGGTTAATGCGTCCGACATGATGTTTCAACCTTGATTAAGTCTTTTGGCCCATCGCATTATTAGATCTGACTCAGCATCACATCTCACTTAGGTTTTAACTTTTGAGTCTCATTAAGATTTTAGACATTCCATATATCATCAATCCTCGACCTTACTGAGATTTCACCAAAAAACTGAACTAAATCGGTAAATCTTGATGGAATTATGAATAGAATCGAATGGTGATGAATTGTCATTGAACTATGCAATTCTTGCAAAAAATCTTAGAGGACTGATGGGAGCTCTCTCTTTCGCTGGCTATAATAGGTTCAATTGGACAAAGTTTTGGCTGCTGATGCACCTTTTGACATCTGCAGTTGCCAGGTAAGTATGTCTAATTTAAGGTCATATTTTTCTGACAAACTCACATGTAATGTCATGATTGGTGTTTGAGTGTTCCTCGTGGCCTGTGAAACTTGGGACTCATGCCATTTGCTGGGGATTACAGCAGATCCTCAAGTGAAATTTGCTTATAATATATATGTTTATGCCTTTCTCATAAAATCCAAGACTGCTTTCTTCATCACAGTTGCCCCGATGACAATAAAATCCTCATCTATTAACTTTACAGTGCATGGGCCTCAGCTGGTGTGCGTTTGCCTTTATGTGACTTCGCCAATTATTGAACTTTCAATAACTTAAATATTGCAGTTTGCTATGCATTACTCCTGGTCAACTGAAGCACGGGCTCGTCGAGCTTTAGCCAACGTGTCAGCTTTACTTCGTCCTGGAGGCACCTTCATTGGAACAATGCCAGATGCGAACGTGATAATAAAAAAGCTTAGAGAAGGTATTGTTTATTCTAATTGGTCTGTCGCAAATACATGCTGACAAAGCCTGTTCTGTCCCAGTAATAATAAGGAATGATGCAGTCATGTTCAACCCTTGACGTTTGCTAAATTCACTCTAATTTCCAGCGGAAGGGCTTGCTTTTGGTAACAGTGTCTACTGGATATGCTTTGATGAAGAATTCTCTGAGAAGGTGAATGCTCCACCGCTTTTGGCATCCTTACAATTCTGATATTAAGTCATGAAAAAGTTCACATGTGCTTTTGTGTACAGAAATTTAAATCATCAGACCCCTTTGGGATCAAATACAAGTTTCACCTAGAGGTACTAGTTTCTACTCCTTTTCTGCCTATTGTTTGATCTGTGTACATTGAGTTGGCCACTCCAAGAAGCCATTGCAGTTGCCCAATTATCCTTCTTTCCTCCGTCTTTTCCTTTTTTGATTAATCAATCTAGTATGTATGTTGTATTCCACTTAAGAAACTGTACATGTCTTGCAATGATAGCTGATTTTGTAAGTATATATGCTTTCAGGATGCTGTCGATTGCCCTGAATGGATTGTTCCCTTCCATGTCTTCAAAGCTTTGGCAGAAGAGGTAATTGTTTCCGGCAGTCCACTTACTATTTCTGGAGTTCTCTCGTAGAAGTTTGAGCAAGGCACTGCAGCTTGCCATTAAGCCTAAGTTCTTTTTCGCATATTGGGCAGTATGAGTTGGACCTAGTTTTCGTGAAGAACTCACACGAATTTGTACACGAGTATTTGAAGAGGCCAGAATATGTGGAATTGATGCGGAGGCTTGGAGCCTTGGGGGATGGTAATCAAGACCAAAGTAAGTTTCCTTTTTTGTCCGATGTAAATGCCCGTTTGGGGTGACTGCAGTTTGGCTGTGGCTGTACTTTTTAGCTTTCATTTTAGCTTGTAGCTTTTATTAATTTGGATTAAGTTCTATTTCATAATTAACTATCTCGAATCTTTGAACATTTTGTTAGTGAAGGTCATTTAATATTTTCATTCCCTTTAAAATTAAGATACTTTTAAACTAAAAGCCATGAGCGGTAAGTAGGAAGCTCTTTTCGTTTTTCGACTTCTTGCATACATACTAGGAACCCTCCAAAAGAAGAAGCACACTTT